CAGGAGTAATTCTTTAGTGTCAGTCTTACTTTAAGTGAAGTGCAGGAGTAATTCTTAAGTGTCAGTCTTAGAGCTGATTGTGACACCTGGCTGTGCCACAAAGCTGATCCTGGATGATGTCATTAGAATAAACCCAGACATGGACCAATGTCTGCCTCGGATTTCATGTTCAAGAGTATTGCCGGAGAAATGTCAAGATAAAACTGTGAAAATCCTAAGATAAGTTCACTTTCAACACACTAATGTCACCTTGTACTGATTGTCTGTAAATTACATAAAATGTCCTCATWTGCATCATGAAAACAGACGAAAATCTCACATTTTTTTAAATCAAAAACTCAGCAGCTTTAAAGTTGTTTTATGTCTCAGAGCCTGAGGTCATGTTGAGCTGCTCCCTTATATTTAACATTTTCTCCAAAAGCTACACACAGATGACATTATGCAGTTTTTTATTTACTTTTCTTTCTTTTGTATATTTCTGATTAAACCTGTCTTCCACCTGATAACTGAGAACAACTCTCAGGTGGGGAGGASGACAGCTGTAATCTCTGTCTTCAGTTCATCTCAGACCCTTAGTGGTAACTCTGAACCACTTGAGTCCTCTGGAACAGTCTGAACTTTTCTTTAGAGTAAGAGTGATTCTTAGACTTAAGAATTTTCATAACAGGCACTTACACTTAAGTCTGAGAGTAGGAGCAAATCTAAGACATTTTTTAGCATTAAGACTAAAAATCCACTCTAAGAAGTTTGATAAATACAGACCCTGGAGATCTGCATGAGTCTGTTCTCAACCAGAACCCTTCAAAGTGACTGGCTAACAACTTTAAGGCTTGGTGACTACRTGACTATCTTTTACAAACAACTAYGGTCAAAGACGTTCTGCTACTTTGAACAGGTTTTAGAAAATTGGAATTTATTCTTGGAGAAAATTAAATGGTGAACAGAAACAAACATTCTTTTCAATACTTTTCTAGACCTAAAGATGATTGAACCAAATTTCAGACATTTTAAAAAGTGTGAAGTTTTTGTAATCCTTTAGTGGAAGACTGATGATGTGCTGTCGCTGGCCTGAAACACCTCCAATACTGTTGATTTCTAAAACACAAGGAGCATGTGCAATGTAGGCAGAAAAACAGAGGGAAAACTAATCTAATGAGAAACATGAATAAGGCCATTGAGARAGGCTCTGATGATAATGTACTGATCAAGTCAGAAGCACAAAAACACAAGAATCTGATTAAAATCTGTCAATCCTAATGTAGTTCTGGGTTTCCTGGATGTGCAGCATGGAGTGCTCACAGTGTTCATGGAGTGGCTGCTCACTTCCTGCAGCTTTGCAACAATCAAACCAGTGTAAGGGCTACTGGTGGGACACATTTAAAAACAGGTAGAAAACAATCCCTGGTCATCAGCAACAAACTTTTTAGCACTTTTAATGGGAACTGTTGGTCAGAGGGCTCGTGTCTAGGAAAGACCTAAAACCTCACTTCACTTTAACGCCAACAGGAGACGGGAGTTCAGAATTGCACTTTTAGGAAGTCTGAAATGTATATGTCAGGGTGTTGTGGACGAAAGCGGGCTGTGAAAACTGAAAAGGACCAAACATTCTTGTTCCACGCCTCAGGTACCTGCACAGAAACCAACAGGTGCAAAAGAAAATAAAAACTCGTTTAATGGTAAAAAAAAAAGGTGAAAGAGACCAAAAACCTTTAAAAAGACCAACTAAAGGATGATGGAAAAGAATGTTAGTCCTCAGTGGCACAGCTGCTCTCAACAGGCCCAAAGAGCAGACGGTTCCAGGGTCCAGACTGAACCTGGACCCTCTGAGAGTCTTCTCAGCTCAGTGACACCGGCCAGTCAGGGCCGGCACAGTTCATGTTGCTTCTTAAATAACCTTTATGTTTGTTTCAGGGTAAAAACACAACCAGTTACCAAAAAAATACAAAGTGATTGTTAAATATGTGTGGGCACGGTTCCAAAGCCACGTGTTCCTCACAATTCAATCCACTGTGAAGAGGAGAGGCACAGAACGGCTGCAGCACCACAAGACTCAAACAAACCTCTCAGGTTGGAACATAAAGCTGGACTTTTACAGGTTCTTCATCTGGATCCAATCGAGTTTAAACACAAAAACTACCGCACACACAACTTCACCATGTCTTCACACACACACACACAC